TAATCTTCAGCAAAGCTACTGTGTTGTTAGCCGCTATCAAAACTCCTTGAGTGAAGGGCAAACCCTGTCGGCAGGCAACCTTTGGTCTATGAGACTTCCTTCCTCACCTTAGCACATGTCAGAACAGCATGGAGGGACAAATGCACATGGCAGAGATTGCAAAACACAGGTGGCTTACTGAGAAGGGCAATGACTCCCACTTCCAAATCTAATCAGTTCCATCCTGCAACTGAAAAGTGAAAAATGACTTGCTTGGGAGATGTTCGCTCCAAGGAAGAGTAAAGTGGGGGGGGGAAACAAGACCTTAGAGGTGAACAAGAAAATTGTATGTAAGTGACAAGCCAGGAGATATATGTTGCTGTTTGTTAGGGATAATAATTTTATTTCCACCTCTTGCTCCTATCAAATTACTGCATCCCTTTTCCTGCGCACATAAAGCGTAGTCCACTGATGGTAGGTAGTATTAGTTCACTCCAAAGGCATAACAGAGCAGGTCTGTGCCCTGGACAGCCAGGATGCATATAGCAGCATCAGCTGCAGTAAGTAGTGCTGATCCTGGTGGCATGGTCAGCCGTTGCTGTGGGGGCAGCCATTTTTGCACTCCTCGGTAAAGATAGCGCCTGGGACTGTTGCCCTTGTCACCCCCTCTCAATTATGCTACCAATTCATTCTCACTGGTTTGGGTGGTTTCTGTAATGACTGAATTACCATGGCATAAAAAGTAATAAAAATGAAATGCTGGACCAAATCCTGCTCATCTTGGGTGTGTGATAGCTTCATTGGCCTTCAAGGAATACTTGTGGCATGGGTGACAAGTAAGTGGTTTACAAGACTGAGTCACATATATACAGCAGTCATCTCAAGAATCATTTCTATTGGCACCAAACTTTTCCATCTTGCAGAAGTGAGGGAATATTCTAGCATTGTTTATAGAGTAAGAGAATAAAGAGGAGGATAGATACTCAAAAACCCTAATTAAGAGGGGATAAGACTTACTCGGGCCTTCCCCTGAAGTCAATAGAAGTCTTTCCCCTGATCTCAATGGGTTAAGTGTCTCCTGTTACTGTCACCCTTGTCTGTCTTCTTTTAAGTCCTGCCTCATCTTGATCCATGACCTGCACTTTGTCATGTTATGTCACGCTAAATTTTGACCAGGGTGGGGAAAATGTTCTTACTAGTTTTGTGACGCTTCCAAGACAATTCAGGGCCTTCAAAAGATGATAGGTGATTTAAAAATTCTCCTGCTGCATCTTGGCCTGCATACTTTCATCTGCCTATCAGTCATATTAATAATAGGTGCACAGACTTGAGGCATCTGATCAAAAAGATACCCACTGTGTAACTTTTTTCCATCTTTCACTAGCAATCATGGAATCACAAAGTGGTTCTGTCTTCAAGTCTTGAACAGCTGCTCAAAAATGATACTCTTATCTGTTTATTCTCCTTTATTCAGTTCTCCCAAAACATTAGGCCCACTCTGGCCATCACTAGCTCCCTGAGATGTGTACAGCTAGGCATAGTATGAATGATACATAGGGCACAGCTTTTAAAACTCCTGTTGAGAATGACACATTTTTTGGCTTTCATCACACATTTCATCAACACCCTGATCATGATTCTGATTATGACAGTAGCACTAGAAGCAGCAAGTGGGATTAGTACACCTTTGTAAAGACACTAACCTTTGTTGGTGCAGAAGCAGCCCCTGCTCTCATCTAAATAGAAATATGGGTAGAGGTATAATTACCTCTATGTTTTAAAGGCAGGCCGCTGATGTGCAAAAGAATGCAAGGATACTTTGTATGAGCCACAGACTGAACCGTGAGCTCCTGAAATGCAAGGCAATGCCTCAGCTGCAAAATCACTCTTTCTTTCCAGATAGAGGTTGACACAGAATACTAGCAGTATTTGGTCCTTCTGTAGCACTTCCCACTGGAGAATTGCAAAGGACTTTACATATTTCAGTGAATCATTACTCACTGTATATTACTGTAAATGGAAAGAGGTAAAGAGTATTATCCTCAATGTATAGACAGCAACACTGGGAGAGATTCTATAGAGATGACAGGAATACATTTGTTAGATGATCTCTCTTCCTGCTGGAGCAGGTTTGGGTTTTATTATTCCTGTTCTATTCCAACAGTTTCCTGAGGCATCTACTCTGTGCCTGAGAGGATGTCCCTTTTTAAAAAAAGATTCATTCTAAAATTGACCTTCTTTATTTCATCCAAATTATACTCACTACCTTTTTGATATTTATACCCTTCAAAGAATTGTGAATAATTAAAATGTTGCCTTCATCTTAGCTCAGCCACTCTACTATATTTAATACTTCTGATTTCTCCTTGGAATAAGTCCTTTAGTTTCCTGGTCAGTCTTGTAATTGATGTAATTTCTTAGTATTTTTGTAGTAAGGTAATGCCCAACGCAGATACTGTACCTGCTGTCATCCCAGCACTACCCCCATTAACCTAGTGGTGCAACCTTGTAGTCCCATGGGCTGGATAACCAGTGAGGGATCAGTGTTGGTCTGTGGTCAGTCATGCAAGTCTGATCTGGCCACGTGCCAGCCTAAATGCATGCTGCCCTGATCAAGCTGTGTGCCAGCCTGATCATGTGCTCCCAGATTCCACCACATGCTGGCACCATCTGGTGTCCAGGATCAAGTTATCTGGCTTGTGGGGCTCACAACAGGTTCAGAAATTTAACAGCAGGGGAGCAGCAATCAATGCTGCCATTGCTTCCCTACTGCCAAATTTCCAGAGCCTTGGGAAGTCCCACAGGCTGGATGATACAGCTCTGTGGGCTAGATCTGACCTGTGTTATGGGGTAGAGCACCCCTAGTGTAACCCAGTGTTTCTGCCTATGCAGTCCTAAGTTGCTCAGTTTTTTTCACCTTAATATTACACTGCAAATGTATGTCTAATTTGTGGTCTGATAACACCTTACCTCTTCTGGCATCCCTGGTTTGCAAGTTTTTCCATCACAGTGAATGTATACATGTCTTTCAGGCTATGTATCCCAAGACATATTAAAAGCTTTCCTTTTTCCAAGTTGCACCATACTGTGAAGCACAGAGAAGTTAAAAACTATCTTTTCAAGGACACACGTTGAGTCAATGGGAAAAGCTGGGAAGAGAACGATCGGCCCTGTGCTTGAACCACTAGACTATGCTTCTTTCTCAACTGTATCAGTACCAAACTATATTTGATACATCATAGATCATAACGTGTACCACAGCAGCTCTTTCTTGGGAAACAATGGGGTAAATCACAGGAAGAAGGAAGAAGAAAGAGGAAATGAACCAGTCAATGCCTACAAATTTCAAATTGCTTACTCCTCCATCCTTGACCAGAGAACCCACAAGGCAGGTAATCCTTCACTGGTGAAGAGCAAAACCCATTTGCTACCAGGAATTTCTACTGAAAAGATTTTTGTTCAAATTGTAGTTTCTTTTTCTATTTTCAAGCTCTTTCTGCTGTGGAGTAAGTTCAGTACTATGGCTTCACCTCTGAATTGCAGACAAATGTGAATGCAGGATGGAAATGTACTGTCCCATAACTGAATAAGTGAGATTAGAAGATAAGAAAGGAAGTGAAACTACTTTTCATTTTAAATAGAAGGGACAAATTTTAAGTCATGGGTACATACAGTATGTTCAGAAGATAGTGGTTGCAAACAGTCTCTTATATAGGAAAAATTAGTAGATGTTAATGTAATATAAGTACTCCTCTGCTAGCATAGTTAGCTATTTTATATGCATAAATGTAGGTTTGGGGCTAGGAATTGAGGTCCTCACATTTTAAATTTGTTTATGGAAGTATTAGATGTGACCTTGGATGAAAGTCAAACGGCATCTCCAGTTCAATACTGACATCAGAAATGAACTATTTTTCTTTCAGAATTTGTTTTCTGTGGGTTGATAAGTGGATAGACAGACAGATAGCATTGTCCTGAAAATCAAGTTTAGATTTATGACTTTCAAAGGACATTGTTTATTTAAAAGATTATGTCACTGGTGGCAGGTTGAGAGTTACACAATGGCAGGGCAGAGAGAAAAGTTGGAAGCCTATGAAGTAGGGGTGATAACGAGAACCAGCAGGGCCCTGTAGGTCTGGAGAGACAAAAGATCTGGAAGCCTGTCCATGTGGGAGGATCAGTGTCCATCAAGGGGAAAGAGGGAATGGAAGGTCAGGTTGAAGCTATATGTACAAGAGAGGGGGCCTCCTTAGCTGAATTTTAAACAAACTCAAGAGTTCAGAGCTCACTTTCTTTTGGTTGAAATTCAGGTAATTTTTAGCGCTGTGCGAAATGGCAATGTTCTTCGAGGTCTGGACAGAATAGTGTTTTGCATTGAATATAATTTTGAGTCAAAACAGCCTCACTCTTCTGCTTTGTTGAAACAGTGAGGCTGTTTTGATCCTGTTTCGACCGTTTCGCCAGACCATGGGGCTGGGGAAAGGAACTCAGCTCAGATCACACCGGGGGTGGGAAGGCAGTCCAGCTGGGCTGCTTTCCTGCCCCCTGCCGAATCTTGCATCGGGGACAGGAAGTCAGCCCAGCTGACTTCCCATCCCCTGCGCTATAGTTGAAACATTTCAACTAGCCTCATTTTGTTTTGAGGCTATTTCGACAGCCTTTGTTTCATTTAGATTTTGCTGTTTCAACCTCTAAATTAGTCGAAACAGTGTCAAAACCTAATGGCCGTTGAAATTTTGCACAGCCCTAGTAATTTTCTTATAATAAACAGTTCAATTCAACCCAGTTTGGGCTGCCTCAGAAGAGATTTAATTTACTAATCTCCATTTTTTTTCTGATGCAGTGCAAACAAATAGAAAAACAAGCAATTTGTAATTTATAGCTAATACTCTGCAGTGATGCTTGGGAGTAAGGACCATCTCTGATTATACACCTGGACAACACCTAGATCTGTGGCCTCTGATCCTGATAGTGACTTTTAGGTGGTGCTGTAATATAATATGAATATTATCTTTGCTTACCATTGTATCAGTGTAGTCTTCAAGCTTTGCTGCAGGGATCATCTTTTTGTGTTGCAAAAAAAGATCTTTCAGGAAGTCCTATGATCATAAAAGAGTCAGAAAGAGATGGTGCAGGCTATAATATTAAGAAATGAGGCATCACTTGAGCAAAGTACCTAAAATGTGTTTAATTTTAAGCAAAAAAGTAGTTCCATTGACTTCAGTTTAATTTAACGTGAGCTGAAAACATTTTATGTTGCTCTTACTTGCTGGATTTTCAAATTACATATTAACATAATGATATTCTTCCACAACAAAGATAATAGAACATTTCATTAGAAATTCTTCAGCATGAGACAAGCAGGATGTTTTGATATTAAATAATACCCCAAACTCCCATAATTTTCTAATTGAATAGGGGCAAAACTTTTTTTCAGGCATGCTACAAATTACATTTCAAGTGTCCCTCTGATCCCCTTCCCCTACTAGATCTGCTGCTCTGCCTTCTGCTTCCTACCTAATTTGCTGCTCTATTCTATGCTTCCTGCTTTGTGCTCCCTGATTTGCTTCTCTGCTTCCTGCCTTATCTGCCACTATGCTACCTGTCCCCTCCTGATCTGCTGCAGAACACAGAGGGACTGCCCGTGCCAAGTTGGCCACCCCTGTCCTAACCCATTTTAAATTATAGTTGTCCTGATTCATCAGTGCACTTGCTTTGTATTCACTTAAATCTGTGCTTAGACATATGCTGAAATTCCCACGCATATTAACCTCCAAACCAGGAGCAGTGTTGGAGTGCATGTGGTGCTGTACTAACCTGGCTACATTACTCCTAGTGTGGGAGCCAGTGGATCTCGAGTGATCTCAGCCTGTCTCAGTATGTACCTTACAGACATCCCCAGCATGACTTAAACATGTGTTTCAAGTTAAGTTTTGCTAACAAGAGGCAGACTTCTGGACATGGTTGATATGAAGTATTTGACTACGTGCTTTCCTGTTCTGGTGTCTGAGGCAATAGGCTTGGCTTAACAATGATGTAAGTGTTGGGACAAATCCTTCCCCTGCTTTTCATAAACAGATCTAAACTGAGTTATGACACTAATTAATAAAATGAATTAATCAGGTGGAACTGCAGTGTCTCTGTTTAGATGGGACAGGAATGAAGAGGCTGGACTAGGGATTGTGCACATCCATAGACTAGGGAGCCATGCTGTATGGTGGATCTTCTTACAGCTGTGCAGAGGGAAGTTGGTGTGGGCTGGGGAGAAGGTTAGAAGTATGGTCAGTAGATCTACAAATAAGAGGATACACCGGCTACCTCTGCCTACCAGCAGAACCAGAGAACATGATGGAGTCACAATGACAGCACATGTGTTTGTTGGTAATGTGGATTTCTATAGAAAAACTTTAAAATGCCATTTACCAATCTCATGAAAAGCCGGTAGAATGACTAAAGCCAATGGAATAGATCCACACTGATTTATAATGGCCTATAAGTCAAACACAAGGAGACAATTAGAATAACTTACTTTGAGCTCACCAGCTGAAATAAACCCACTGCTATCAGCATCATATTTGCGCCAAATCTAGGAAGGGACAAATTGGCAAGGCCTCAGATTAATCAACAAAGATGGTTATGCAGCTCATAAAGATCTATCAGTTTCACAATGTCCATGTAACTGTATTATTCAATGCTTAATTTACAGTGGACAAAATAAAATTATCCACACAGTAATTTTTACATTAATTTACTATTATAGTAATGTGTATGATGGGCTGGAAAAAAAATCATCATCTGTTTAATACAGATACTCTTCTTATAAAGGAGAAATGTAGTCAGAGAGAGAAACTGATCAAAATGTCTTACCTCATTTGTGCATGCAGTTACCATGGTTGCTCACTCAGAGTAGTAATTTGCCAGTGTAAATTATCACTTAGAGGAATAACTACCCATTTGTACTCACAGGCACCCATCTTGCATACAAAATCAGGATAACTGCATGCATGCGTTCGAAATCAAGCCTTTGTAGTTGAGAATAGGTTGAAACTAGGAGTATATATTCAATAATAACTTTTAAAAGTTCTCATGACTGGAGATTTTCCCATGGGAGCCTGTTTCTCAAATGTCTGGAAAGCAGCTTTGCAAAATTCCATTTATCTTTTAGCATATTTTTATGGGCAAATATTTTAGTGCTCAAGGATAACATCCAGCATTATAAACCACAAGCTGGTAGATTTTGTGTAGATAAATTTTGGGTAGATAATTTTTCAGGACAGTTCTGCAAAGCTGATATAGCAGGGGTTTTCAACCTTTTCGGGTCATTGTAGCCCTGCGGCCAGTTGAGAAGGCAGGAGTCCACCCTGGCCGATCAGCGAGCATGCCAGTGGCATGGCGGCAGAGGAAGTGCCAGCAACAGTAATGGCGCCTGCTGCCAAATACTCCCTGAGGCCATCACAAGTACCCCCAGGGGTACACGTACCCCCGGTTGAAAACCCCGGTGATATCGAGTTTATGCACCAGCTAGCAACAGCAAGAGTTGCTAGTGACAGGTTTCCAAAACTGTGCAAAATCTGATTAATTGAGACACTTGAGCATCCTCCACATAGATAAGAAATTCCTTGGGAGGCTTTGGGTTGCTAGAGAGGTTCCCATGAGTCCTCTCTTGCTGCTGTACAGACTGTAGAAGAGAAAAGTGGGCATATGCCAGAGCATCCTTATACATCAGTGCACCCCAAGTGATAGTGTGGCCTTCTGGGACTGGGAAGAACCTGTTCAACTCAACGAAACCTTCAGCCCATTCTAGCCTCCAAATTACCGGGGAGGGAGGGAGAGAGAAAGGAAGGGAACCTGCACAACAAGGTGGCAGAAATAGTTTCCTGTCAGGCCCATGCTGATCTATGCCAAGTTCACCTGCATTCATGAAGGACCCATGACCTAACTCAGGTCTCTGTTTACAGCTATTCTGTTCAGTGCAACAGTCCAGTAACCTTTCTTCTCAGAAAGCATGGACTGATATCTGACTCTTTCATCATTATTTGAGAAAGTTTGCCAAGTGCAAGTATCTGTTTTGGGCCTCTCTGTTTCTGTCTGCCCTATCTACAGTTATTCTGCTCTTTGAATAAGTCTCTTAAAATGTTCTTTCTTCCAATGATGATCACACAGCCTTCAGAAACAACACTATGCTTTCCTCACTGAGCAATATTCCATAGGAGTCCAGAACACACCTACCACAATAAGAGTTTGCTAAGTGCCATTCAGATGGGAAGTAACATGGAAGAAAAGATCAAGACACACACCCGCATAAACTCCACGCTGTTGTCCAAGGGAGTTTCCCGCCGGAAAAGCAGCAGAAAATTCTCATCATCTGGCAAGATCATGTTTGCAAGCTAAAAAGGGGAAGTAAACATCAGAGAAAATTTCCATGACTAATGACCTCGGCAGAAAATAAATGCAAACATGTTTCTATGGAAACAAAGCCCAGAACAAGCTGTTTAAAATTTAGACCTACCTTGGCTAATCTTTTTTTGCCCCCATTATCTGCAACATGTCCAAGATGACCCAGTTACCCTTGAATCACTTCCCAATGTTACCCCTTTTCAGAAAAGTAGTGTTTTTTGGCAGTTACCTCTTGTATTTGCAAACGTCCACCTGCTGTGACATTGTACGAGGACATGAACTGCTCTTTCATTCTTTGCACCTTTTCCTCTGTTAGTGTGTCCTATGGATTGAAACAAAACAGACACACAAAGCCCCTGAGGGTGGTAGAATACAGCACCCCAGATTAAATCGATTATGATTTACAACTGCCCTTCATAACAGAACATGAACGCCACGTGCTCCCGGAGGCTGGGGTGGGGGTGGGGGGGG